TGAAAAAAAAGAGATTTTACCGAATAAAAAGGAATACGTTTATTTTTAATCGTGCTACTACTTAATAGTTATGTGTATTTTAAATAAAACTATCTTTTTGGATTATTTCGCGGATTTATTTTAATTTTTGGTTCGAATGCTTTACAGCAATCATGATCACGGGAGAGACTAAGGTTATAGACACCCAAAGGTGTTATATACTTATTATAGACAGTGCCTACCACCACTACTATTCACTATTTTACAAAAATGATTTCAAAAATTCAAAAATGGCACCAAAGTACCTTACAATATTTATTGATTTTTATTTTTAAATATTTAAATTTTTTTAATAAGTATTATAATTAAATATAGTAATATTATTTATTTAGCAGTATTAGTTTTTGTGTAATAAATGATTGATTCTTTTTTTTTATGCTATTAATACACAGCAGAACCAGTTATTGTGTTTTCCTGTGGAAATTAGAGGTTTTCCTGTACTTTTTGCGTGAAATGCGTATTGATTTACAGACAAACATACATATAGACAAACAGACAAGCATTGCAACACTTATTGTTTTGGGGTCTATATTCTGTACACAACACGTATCATTCATTGTTTTTAATAATATTTCATGTACAGATTTCGCTATGCTACAATTTTATTATTTGTATTGGTATACCTAGTTCATATCTTAGTTTTATTTTTCTGATAGTTATACGTGGCGAATTTTCCCTAACGGCAGTTTTGTAATTAACATTAGAGGGGTAATAATTTTAGGAATAAAATAAATATAGAAATATTATGTTTATTCTACACGCGAGAAGAGTTACGTGAAGAACATGTATTTGAATAAAGTGAATGTGAAAAGTCCACGCCTTTCTCAGACCTCCGCAAGTTGTATTGCAGTTTCCATAACATTAAGAATGTAACCGCGGGGCGAGTAACGCTAACTGAAAATGTTCCAAAGAGTTGTTTATTTTAAAGTAAAGTACAAACTAATTTTAATATTTAAAAATATATAATAAGTGATTTTTTTAAAGATCACATTTATAAACTATGGAATTTAGTGTGGTAAATGTTATAAAACTACTGTTTGTTTTTATGGTGTTTGTAGAGACAGGTAAGTCGATTTTTATTTAGTTTACTTTAAATTAGGTGATTCTTTACTTCAATAATATTATATAGTGATTTACTCACTACGCTCGGTTGTTTTCTTAGGTGCGTTTTGTGTTTAAATCATTACTTATATATGTATAAGCAGCACCTTTTGGAAAATTTTATAACTTATATTAGCAGATAACACATGTCACTCATGGTCATAGTGGATCTGTGTATTAGATTTAATCCAAATCTATCCAGCTATTTCGACGTGAAAGTGTACAGATCTTACACAGACACACAAAATTTCAGATTCATAATTAAATAATAGTGTGATAATGAATACATCGAAAAACGTGTCTCATATGTTACAATTACACCCTAATTTGTTCAATCACAATAGAAATAAGCTTATATCCAGAATTGCTATTGCTATTGCTATTATTTGCTATTGCTGGTTTATCTAACCTTAGTGTATTTGAAACATCGGTTGTTTAAGTTTTGAAGTCATATATAGCTTATTTATTGAGGGAATAGAAATAATTGAAATAAGTACGAGTTACAGAGGAATAATTTCGAAAGTTTGAAAGATTTTTTTTTTGTTATTAACACAGCATCTAGTTCCATGGTAAGCTACGAGACTTGTGTTCGGGATACCAGGTAGTTGATACACTACACATATATAACTTTAAATACATACATATTGTAAATATTAGACACATTGACAGAATTTGCATAGAAATGTAACTGATAACATCGTTAGGGCTATTGTACAGACCAGTCGGTTTTAAACCATGAAATGTATATTGAAAAAATTAAGCTTTTTTTAAGTAACACAGTGGTAATGGACTCGTTTGAAAAAACACAAGAAGTGGGTTCAACATCGCTCAATTTACACCTCTAATATTTTCACGTTACTTACAACATGATTTTGTTTTACGATGACGAAAAACACCATGAAGAAATCTTGTATAGATTATTATTAGCGACGCATACTGGCTTTGCTCACACCCTCAATGCATCACACGTGGGCTTCACTAACTGTTTGCTATATTATACGAATAACGCGATGCGATGTATAAAAGATAAAAGCCATGTAGCTGGTTCAAAAAGTGAACAATGTAATTAATTCAAGGATGGTGTAAAATAATTTACAATCTCATTTCTTAAAGTTTTACAAATTAAACAGTGTATTTGAAGTAATTAGCTTAATCTAAATTCTAAATCAACTTACAAATTATAATTTATTAATTATTTAAGAAAGATTAAATTTCTTAAATTATTAGAGAAGAAGAGTTTTTGAGTTCAAATAACATCACATTTTGAGAACCAAATCATAATTTAATTATTGGAATAAGTAAAAATAAAGTAATAACATGTTTTTAAGATTAAATTCTACATATTTTAATTTGAAAATTGAACCTGTAATAGATAGAAAACATGCTATACCTACTTAAGATTTATTAAATTTAACCCTATTTACAAAATTTAAGTTTTATGAAAGTGGTAATTGAAAAGTAAAACTTCTTTAAATAAACCGGACATCTATAGGTACATATAATAAAATTGTAACGAAGCCGAATCTGTACATTAAATATTTCTTGGAAAATCTTATTCAAATAAACATTATTATCGATACAGAGGTATGATATGATATGAATATGATGATAGCTGGTCATCCGGGTCAACATATAGGATACTTTTTACCGCGGGAAAATATCTCATTTCTGAGAAAAAATACAAAAACTGCAATGTAAGAGTATACTAATATGTAAAACCTAAGAATTTGGTTTTTGGTCATCTGAACGTGGGCGGAGCCGCGGGCAATGCTAGTATTCACATAAAAATAATTTAAGTATGTCTTTGACAACCCACTATCATATCAGTGAAGTCGGGGCAACCGAAAATGAATGGTGAACTTCATACTGTGAAGTAAGTAAAATGCGTGATAAAATAATAATTTATAATCTTTATAAGTACCTGTCTAGGTATAGTCTATAAGGTACATCAATATATTGCATAACCTAGAGAGTAGAAATTGCTACGAAGACATATTGTGTGAAAATAAAACTTATATTGTACTCATAACAATGAATAAAGTTTTAACGATTAAACCGAGTATAGAAGGCCGGGACGTATATTATTTATTTTATTGTGTATCTAATAGTTACCTACTATACAGACTTGAATGAACGTAGTTTACTAGCGTAATAGTCACCTTGACATAGGTCTTCGTATAATCACATTGGTATTGGTATATGGTAAGGCAGTGGTAGCCCAGTGGTAGCGCGCTCGCTTGGGAAACCGAGTGAAGTGGGTTTAAATCCCGGGTCTCGCACCTCTGATAATTTCATGTGCGAATCATTTCTAACTTTATTACCACTTGCCTTACGGTGAAGGAAAACATCGTGAGGAAACCTGCATGTCTGAGAAAACCTAGCAAATTTTTGAAAGACATGTGAAGTCCGCCAACCCGCACTTGGCCAGCGTGGTGGACTATGGCCTGATTCCCCTCGCATTGAAGGGAGGACCGTGCCCAGCAGTGGGACTTTAAAAAAAGGGCTGAATACATACATATATACATACATAATCAAATTAATCTATAGCTGCTAGAAAAGTTATAAATTCACAATTTATTAAATACATTTTAAATTCACTTTATTGTTTTTTTATTCGAAATAAGATTAAATATTTCAATATACATATTATGTACCTATATATGTAGTAACTTTAGATATTCATAAATATAATATTTACAAACAAACTAAAAAACTACTAAATTACGATCGTTTATTTTTAAACTTGTTTTACATTTTATTTCACAACTGCACATACATAACCCTTTCCTTTGGTATTTTTATAAGGCACTTGCGAAACCAGGTTTTTGCGATCGCGAAAATATAAAGACGAATGGCGGGCGATTAAACACCGTATAGATAGAAGGTGAAAGTCAAGTGTGCACCGGCTTCTTATTCTGATACACTGTACCGAGTAAATTATATGATTTCAAATTGCATGTTTTCTATGTAAAATGATTTCTATTATGCTTTTATGAAACAATGTATACGTTATTTGATAGTTAAATTCTCTATTGTAGTTTTAATTGTCGAAATACAGAAATATGTTATGAGCGATTATTTTATCAATAACCGTAAGGAATTACGGTAGAGCAACTTTGAGTGCGATTGTTATCGAAGTCAGAAGTTTTTTTTTTGTTTTTTTTTTGCCGTCTTATGATCTTATTTTATTTAATACATACTTTCTCTCGGTTTAAGCAGATCTCGTTATTTTAATAAAATTGAATTCATATACAGCATTAAATATTTGAAAGTTGAAATTGACTTAATATGGAATGCCTAAGCGAATAATATTTGTTTTAAATTTTCGTTTTCCTGGATATTTTTTCTTTTATGAATTATGATTTTTTTTACAGTACCTGAGACCGACGGCAATTTAATGCCTATGCTAGACTTTCGATACTGGGCATGCGTCATGAAGCGAGAATGGGAGTGTCCAGATAGAGAAATTAATTTTTATTTATTCACACCGTAAGTATTCATATATAAAACCTTTTTGTTTTTATTCATTTATTAATATCCTCTTAGAGAAGTTCATACCGTAATGTTGCCATAAATGATATAGTAAGGCAAACTATCAGATATTTCAAATCCTCTGAAATATATAGTCGTTTATATGTTTATAAGATTTAAAAAAAAGTGGTTGTTAAGCCAACCCCTTATATCATTGAGAAAGGATTGCGGAGAACAGGCAGTATAGGCTAGATAGTATAGAATAGGAAAGTTTTTTTAGAAACTTCCTTAGTACCTGTATATTTATATATTTTTATTGAAAAACCATAAAATAATGTTTTGTTATAATAATAATTTATGAAATGATTATAATGAGAATTATTTAGTAAATGTTACTTAACCATTTCGCAATTGCTACAAGGGAACATCCGCACGAGCAATGGGTCGATGTTCGGAGAGTGGATAGATTGCCAGCTCAAGGCTGGAAGCATTCTAGAAAAAATGTTCTCATTGTCCACGGCTTTAATGGAACACATTCAAAGTCTCCGATGACATTTATACGTGACGGTAAGTTTAAGGCCTGTTTTATATCTATGTTAATTGTTGATGTTAACACGGTTTTAGTGTCTAAAGTTATATATTTTGTTTAAGAAATACCTTTAAAGAATTTTACAGATTTATTAGAAACTATATGATTAGTTTCTTAAGAATTGTTATCAGTCTAATTATATATAATTGTATATTACACGAACAAAGTTTGTAGGTAGTAGTAGTAGCTTATTCGGATTTATCAATACGTATGTATACATTACAGCATATCTATCCCGCAAAGACTATAACGTGTTTATGGTGGACTGGATGGCTCTCGCGAGATTTCCTTGCTATCTATCTGCGCTATCTAATATGAAGTGAGTATATTATAAGAAGAAATTTTTATATTGTTACAAGTTGTTACTTTTAACTCTATTATTTTTTAGTTATATAAATGATATCACACGGTTTTTCTTACGTTTTTAACATAAAAGCTATAAAAGTTTTAATTTTAATGAGCCCTTTGTGTCACAATTTTTACAGTAAAATGAGAAATATTGTGCTTAGGTACTTTTAACTTTGGATTTCAAAAAAATCTAAAGTATATTTAATATATACCAAATATACAAATAACCGTAACAGACAGTGCAGAATTGGGTTGTTTATAGTAGGTAACATCCAGCTAGTTTTTGGTTTCTGTTTTCAAAAGGAAAAATCTAAATTCGAATCCTTACGTCAGCCATCTTTCAAAATAGTTTGACTTATTCAAATTTATTAAAAGAAAATAAGTTAAAATTTGCATGAATCTTTGTTTTGGCACTCTACATGAGTGAAAAGTTTTTCGCTAAGATCTCGTTTTTTATGCGTTGAATGGTATTTGTATACTTAAAGTCGTAGAATATAAAATCCTCCACAATTTTTGTTTAAAAGTTTATTTATACTATTAATCATTTTGAGATACAACGCACAGCCATTTAAGGCGTAATGCAAGTTAATTATTCATTAAAAATACTACTATAAAAAAAAACTTTTGTTCCATAATACTGTACTAACAAAGTAATTAAATAAAATACTACTTATTGAATCCTCTATCCCATATAAACATATTTTTTTCGGGATGAAACTAGCATCTGTTTACAGATTTGCACATGTTAGTTTCGTTTTAGTAATAATTGTAAGATTGATTTATTATAATATATTATATATAGTTTTTATTTTTTAGGCTAGTGGGACAATGTACGGCGCAGCTTTATTCACACCTAACACAATTTGGTGTGAAGGCTAGGAAGATAACGTGTGTGGGACACTCCCTCGGCGCACACGTTTGCGGGATGATATCTAATCATTTGACAGAGAAACAATATAAAATAATTGGTAAGTTCTTTTTTGGTCTCATTCTTTTCAATCTTACTTTTAATAATAAGAATGATGATACTGAGCATCTTTACAACTTTTTTTATTAGATCTGAAATATATAGATTTACTCGCAGATTAGATAATCAATATAAAAAAAAACACCTGTGCGATGTGGACGGATTGTAATTATACTAATTTCAAAAAAAACATGATTCAAATAAAACAAGTACATAGAATAAAAAAAGCCTGTTTTATTTTTGATTAATTTTTAATTATAACTTTATAAGGTTTTTGATTAAATATACAAAATAGATTAAATTTGAGGAATCTTCGGCAATGCCACTGTGACAGTCTTGATCTCTAGATAGTTATTTATAGAATCTTCTCCTCTGAAATACAAATTAAAGTTATTAATTACTTACGTTACTTAATAAAATGATATATTTAAATATTAAGTTACACCATTTAATGCTTTACTGTACCTACATCGCACTAAATTAACTTACTTTCTCACTTTTGAAGGGTTTCTACAATCTCTTAAAGAGATAAGTTATCCTTTGTCGACATAAATGGTTCGTTCGTAGGTTGCTACCCCATACAAACTTTCATCCCCCTTTTCACCCCCTCAAAAGGATGATTTCTGGGATAAAAACTATCCTATATCCTTCCCAGGGTCTCAAGCTATCTTCTTACCAGATTTCACGTAAATCGGGTCAGTAATTTTGGAACCTATTCGGTACAAACAAACAAATCTTTCCTCTTTATTATATTATAGTATAGATAACACATATTTTATAGTACGTACATATGTGTGTATTTCAGTACACCTACTGGTACAGAACATAAGACTAAATAGTCTATTTTGTAAAAAGAAATTATTTTCTTATAAAAAAGTTTGAAATATTATAAACTTACAATTCTCTTCCGATACCAGAGTCCTTGAAGCCGCCAAATGGAGTTTGACTCGTGACATGATCATAAGTGTTTACCCTTAGAGAAAAATATAGATTATAGAACTAAAACATACATTTCATTCAAAACTTGTCAATTATCGACACAACAGTTTCGTATGGTAAAATTGAGACTGAATAAAATTTTACGGCTTCACGTATGGGAGTCAGGTTTCGTTAATATCGAGAGAAAAATCTATTTTAGTGAGTGTTACTCAGTTTTTATAATGTCAAAAAATATTATAAATTTTAACAACACTTTGGTTCTAAACTAATCAATAGATGGCGCTGCGCTACACGTGAGCGAAGCTGTGTGCTTGAACAAGTTAAAACATGATATTTATTATAGTACTTACCAAATCGAGCCAGCTCGTACATGTTTGGCGAAGCTAAGTGCGATGGTGAGGTCATTTGTGATGACTCCGGCGCCTAGACCATAGTTAGTGTCGTTCGCACGATCGATCACTTCCTCGAATGTTTCGAATTTCAGGATGCTCTGAACTGGTCCAAATATCTAGGAATTTTAAGTCATATTTTTAATATATAACCATTTTTTTTTAAATTTCAAAAATGGTGTTGCTCGTCGTGAAAGACAAATGAAAGTATTTTATGATTGACCTCTTTCATTGTATCGTATGGTATTTATTTTATGACTCTAAATTACGTGCTTTAGTGCGCATAATTATTAATGTAAAGCTTATATTCTAAATGCATAACTTCATTCACTGGAGTAAATCCTCGTACTATACGTTTGTGATCCGAATAACAATGGACACATGCTATGTAATACAACACAAATACAACAATAGAAATGATTTCTCCATTGAATAGTTTTTGATATCACATGGAGTAAACGGTATTACGATTCTTATATTGTTATATTATTACAATATTGTTTCGTGTCTATAAGTTAATAAGTAATTAAAAAAACGCGCGTGTGTGTGTACGTACGTAAGAAGTTATATTTCTTTGGCTTAATAGAACAAAAATAGTTAAAGATTTCATCCCGATGTCACAAATCTTGTTTGTAAAAGGAATGCAGCTACCTTCATCATGTCGCTTTTAGGCTGTCGGTGTGCGCGCGCATTGTAAAAATTTTACTCTCATATTCTTTTTAAACGTGCCAAAAGAAGTATAATTTCAATAAGCATATTAAAAGTGTTTATAATATGGAAATTATTTTATACTTTGACCTATGTTTTATATACAAATAAAAAGAATATCTATGATATAATTGTCCATTTACGTTTAACACATTTGTCACATAAGACTGAAAGGAATCTAATGAAAAATTAATATATTGTCTTTAATTTTACCTCTTCCTTCGCTATCTTCATATCATCTTTAACATCTACAAACACGGTAGGTTCAATGTAATACCCCTTGCCGCTCATCTTGTTGCCGCCCGTGACGCATCTCGCGCCTTCCTTCTTACCAGCTTCGATATAACTGAGGACCTTTGAACACATTTCTTCATCGATCTGAAACATTTAAAAAATATTATTTTGAGTAAATTCACCTTATTTTTTTTCAATTTTGTTATAATACCATATTTTCATTCAAAATTCAAATGAAATACTTCAAAGCAACCAACAAGGATAAATATGTTATCAATTGATAGTAGGTACCTAATCCTACGAGTAAATAATAAGTTGTTATTTATTCTTAGATCTAATCAAAATGATATTATATTTTATACATATAATAAAGTTCTAAGTCGAATCTGTACATTAAATATTTTATGGAAAATTTTATTGAAATAGTCATTATTCAGTCAGAAGTCGAATCTATAGTTTTTACGATATATTTTCTATATATTAATAATACATTAAAATAGTCCCACACCTGGGGTCCTTGTTGGACATCATCGAATGGGTTTCCAACAGATCGTTTCTTGGCGATTTCTATGGATTTAGCTACGAACTGATCGTAAATTCCTGCTTGTACGAAGGTGCGAGTTCCGGCGCAGCAACACTGGCCGCTGTTAGCGAAGGCCGCTGCATGAGCTAGTTGAGCTGCTTTTTCGACTGTATAATAAATAAATTATGTTAAAATTGCATAATTGGTCTATTCAAATATTGAGTAGATCAAGTGTGGTCATAGTTTGTCACACAAAATTACATAATTCGTTGTGTGCATGCGACGCCTCGAAAAACGGCTAACTATATACCTACTCATAAATATAAGATATTTATAAATTCATATAATTCTCTGTTATTTATAAACTCCGTTAGACGATATTGTAAACACAAATGTTAGATAAGATATTTTTGGAATCTATCAATATTATACGTAACTCTATCTATTTACAGCTTTTCCATGTAGGTGTTACAAAGGTACCCCCCAACGTGCGTTCACCTTGTCGTGGTGGGGGGGCTCAGTAGTGCCCGGCAACCCAACCGGGCGCGAAGCCAAGAAACGCACAGGGAGGTGGCCCACTTCAGTGGGCGGTGGGAGGTGGCCCTCTTCGGAGGGCAGTGTACCATGCGGGTTGCTCCTGGTACTTCTCTGATAGCAGAGTGGACTGTGGAGCAACCCCGTGGTTGTTGTGGTCTACTTCGGCAGACCTGCCGTCGGGGCGTCGTAGTTGAATGCGTAAGCGATCCTGCGACGCCCCATTAAGACGGGGGAAGGTTTTGTTGGGTTTTAGTGGATAGTACTGGCTTTGCCGGTGAGTCCCACACCTCGTGCGTAAATGCATTTCCCAACGTTAAAAAAAAAAAAAGGTGTTACAAAGGTATCAAAATATTCTTGTCTCAGTAAGCCGTTTTGACTTCTGAGCGTATCTAATAACGGCATAATGCTTGCGCATTCCATTAAAATTTAATAAAAAATCTATTACTTAACAACTTATAACGGTTAATATTAAATGAAATAAAGTAATATGAAATAAATGAGATATTTTTTACATTTTTAATGAAAAAATACGTAAGAAAAAACTAGATATTTTGTTAGTTAGAGCAATATTAATTGATAACTTACCGTCAACATCATTAAATACCACCAACGGACTCTTGCCTCCTAGTTCCAATGAAACTCGCTTAAGATTTACAGCAGAAGCTGCACCCATAATAAGTCTGCCGACCTTTAAAGTAAGAAATGTTAATAATAATTACGAACTTATAAAATAGGTATTAATGTAAATTAAAACAATACCATTTTCGTACAAATTCATCTTATTATAAATGTAGATCTAATTTCCTAAAATAAATAAAAATTAATAGTAATTGTAGAGCTTTGTAATTGAGCGAAACAAAGTTAATTGAAAATTGAAATTTTGAATCATATTTTTTTCTATTACATTGTTATTTCAACTTCCAAGAGTCTGCGAGAAATCCGATGGATATTTTTTATTACTGGTAGTTAGCTCAAAACGGTAAATCATTATTATTTAAATTTTATTATGAATCCAACGAAACTATCGTCCGATAGAAAGTGTATACGGGGGCTATTAGCTTACCTCAGTAGAGCCAGTAAAAGCTACTTTGTCCACGTCGGGGTGGTGGGTGAGGGCCGCGCCTGCTGTTGGTCCGTATCCGGGAACAACGTTGACCACCCCGGGAGGGAAACCTGCCTCCTTTATGAGTGCAGCCACCGCGAGAGCAGTTAGCGGCGTCTGTTCAGCTGGCTTCAGTACTATTGTACAGCCTGGGAGAAAAATATAATTAGACTTCTATTAGCTATAAATGCAAAAGTGAATATTTGTTACTTCTTTGCTCTGAAACGGCTGGATGGATTCAGGTTAAGTACAGTCAAGAATAAACAATTATGAGATTATAATAATACTAGCATTGCCCGCAGCTCCGCCTGCGCTCAGATGACCAAAAACCAAATTCTTAGGTTTTACATATTAGTATACTCTTACATTGCAGTTTTTGTATTTTTTCTCAGAAATGAGATATTTTCCCGGGATAAAAAGTATCCTATATGTTGACCCGGATAACCAGCTATCATCATACCAAATTTCATCTAAATCTGTCCAGAGGGTTTCTCGTGATGCGGTAACAGACAGACAGACAGACATAAATTCTAAAAGCTATAGATTCGGCCTCTATATCGATAATAATGTCTATTTCAATAAGATTTTCCAAACAATATTTAATGTACAGATTCGGCTTAGTTAAAATTTTATTATATGTATAGATGAATCACAAGTTTCATAGCGGCTTCCGAAATCTTATTAGTAAAAGAAATACTCAATAGTCTGTGTGGTATCAAATATGTCGCTTCTAACTTGAAAGAGCGGTATGGAATATACTCGTAGTTATTGATTATTATGTATGTATATGCTTATTACTTAGTATTAAAATTTAAAAGCTTTTGACTTACGATGTTTTAAAGCGTACTTCGACATATTATTGAATAATATAATCTATACTAATATTATAAAGACAAAAGATTTTGTTTGTTTGTTTGTACCGAATAGGCTCCAAAACTATTAAACCGATTTAAAAGAAATTTGGCCAGAAGATAGTTTGAGACCCTGGGAAGGATATAGGATAGTTTTTATCCCGGAAATCATCCCTTAAGGGAATGCAAAAGAACCCGAGCAAAGCGAGGGTGAGTCACTAGTATGATATAATTTGTACCGTTTAATACACAAAAACACTAGCGATTTAGTAGTTAGCTCTTCTCGGTACCTTTTCTATTTATTATTATACATACTCTCATAATCGCCTAATCCGTTGTATATTATAACGTGATTTCTCGCTGTAAAGATTAGCATTGGTAAATCACGGTAATGTTAATAGATAACATTACCGTGCATATACTCAGCTATGGAGAGTAACAAGTTATATAAATATACTCCACAGGCTTTCAAGTTTCAACTTTCACTATACAAAGAAGATCAAATCAATCCGTCGCTTCAATTCGACGATAAATAAGTAAATATTTTGGCACAATAACACATAGCGTCATCTAGTTCCATGGTAAGCTACGAGGCTCGTGTTATGGATAACAGATAGTTGATACACTACACATATAAAACATTAAATACATACATATTATAAATATAAACACCCATGACTAAAGTACAAAGTGTACTCATCACACAAATGAATGCCCCCAACGGGACTCGAACCCGCGACCGCTGGCACAGCAAGTAGTTAGTTAAGTAGTAAGATCTCTACAAATAATAATAGTAATATAGTGATATATAATAGTAATATATAAAATTCTCGTGTCACAGTGTTTGTAACAAATCTCTTCCGAAACGACTTGACCGATTCTTATGAAATTTGTGTGTATATTAAGTAGGTCTGAGAATAGGACGTAAACTATTTTTCATACCCCTAAGTGATAAGGGTTGTCCACTCCAAAAATTATGTTTTTTGGAAAAAAAAATTTTTTTTTTATGAATCGGCATTAAAAAATACAGACAAACCTAAATTTTTACAAGGAACGAACCCGAGCGGAGCGAGGGTAAGTTGCTAGTTATATTAATATTAATATGGATATAATTACAAAATCATACCTGCCGCTAAAGCCGGTGCTATCTTCCACGACATCATAACAATAGGATAATTCCATGGTATGATTTGACCGACAACACCTACAGGTTCTTTTAGCGTCATTGATATCACCTCGCCATCTGTAAAATAATAAAAAGTTATTAGATATATTTATATATAAGAATAATATCAGATAACAGAATTATTATGCAAATATTAAAGGTAGGTATATAATAAAAATATATATAAAGTAAAATAAAAATTCTTGATCTAGAAATGTGATATTTAAAAGCGAGGACATTCAATCCAAACTATTGGATGAAGAAGAACGGAAGGGACAAAATCAAACTTAATATAAAAATTAAAAACCTATTTCTCTGACGCGGACAAATGTAATTCTAAATTAAGAATTTGATGCAACTGCTCTTTATACTTATAAACTAAATAATTTTAATTTTGTAATAGTGTAAATTAAATAAATATGGTTGTTGTCTTTCTCACTTCATTTGAAATTGTCAAGTAGTCGGAAAAATTAAGCTTCCAAATAAAGCAGAGTTTTGTGGTTGACTATATGATGTGATGTTCTCCTGATCGATTCCGGCCACGGCGGCCAATCTCATTGAGACTAGCCAACTGCGCAGGAGATATTATAGTGCACAAGTGTACGCGCAGACACAGGTGCACTCTCTATTCCTATCACTCTCATACTCCGGTGGGACGACTGCTCGACACGACCGGTAAGAGTTAAGGCGCAGGACCGACGGCTTTACGTGCTCTCCGAGGCACGTGGGTGAATCACCGCCAACTTCCCAACTCCGGGCTGTTATTGAGACTTACTATACAGAAAGACTCAATAACTAAACTTGGCCCGACCCGGGACTCGAACCCAGGACCTCCGGGTGTGCAGCCGTACATGCTAGCCACTACACCACCGAGGCAGTGGTTGACTATATAGAGGTGCATCATACAGACGCGGACAAATTCGCAGGCATCAGCGAGTATTGCTGAATTCGTTAAAATACAATATAATGTAAAATAATGATGTTATTTCAAAGTTTCATAATGTACACGCCTCTGAATTCTGACGAGAACGTGATGATGCGTCGGCAAAGTGATAAGATATTATTAATTGACAGGGCATTGTTTGTCAGTTGTAAATATTAATTATAAATCTACGCGTCTAATAGATAACTTGTAAGCAATCCTATAATTGCAGTGGGTCTGCGATTTCATAGTTACTTACTGTATAACTTTCTAGTACACTGACTTTAAAAATCATTTGAAAATAATTAGATATATCACCATTTGGAGTGGAGTTATGTATGTTTATATAGGATCACCCTTTATATAACTTATAATAAAAAAAAGAATAATTAACATTTATGGAGATATAGCGTTTCATTCATACAAGAAACCGAATTGAATGCTTTCTTTATTGAAGTCTGTCAAAATAACTACCAAATATTGAGCTTATATCTTAATTTGCATCATATTTGGTATGACTACCATATAATGACTAAGAATTTCTTTTGTATACTCGTATCTGTTTTTATCTACTATGTGATCATTTCATAACGCGTTTTTCATGAATTTATCATCTACTCCACGGGAACCGTACATTTCTTCAGGATAAAAAGTAGCCTAGGTTTTATTCCAGAATATAATCTGTGTCTGTGGCAAATTTTATCCACATTCGTTCAGCCGTTTATCCAAACATCCATTTAAACTTTCTAACATTTGTAATATGAATAAGACGAACATGTGCATATTTATCAAAAAAAGTACGCATTTAGTTTAATAGTTATTATAGTTATAGTACTTTATTTATTATATAGTTATAGTACTTTAGTTTTATATATTCTCAGAATAATGTTATACCTACATTTTTAAATCAATTTAAGACTATTAAAGGATTTGTTAGAAAAATTACATATAGTGAAAAAACCGAGTGTGTTGAGTTCTTAAAATATACCTAACAATAATAATTAATTACCAGCTGGAATAGTATTTCCCAAAATTTTGTCAGCTTTTCCGGCATAATATCTTATCACGCTTGCTGAGCAATAGACTTCTTCTTCGGCTACTTTTACTGGTTTTCCACAGTCCAAAGTTTCGAGCTCCGCTAAATATCTAGCTTGTAATTCCATAAGATCAGCTAATTTTAGCATTAATACTCCTCGTTGTGACGCATCCATGGTACGCCATGAGGAATGACGATGGAAAGCTTTTTTTGCGGCGGCAACTGCGAGGTCTATGTCGGCCTAAAATAATAGTGTTTTAAGTATTGGCAGTGATTGGTGAGATCGGAAAATGGTAAAAATGACTCCAACAGTTAAAGGCGTGTATGTAAATAGGTACTACATAGGCATATGTATAATGTTTATAAAAGTAGAAGATCACGTTATCTGCAAACGATAAAGTATGTACTTAGAACTGTTAACTTTTGGTAATTCCGAAAACATACACTAACTTGGGAAATTTAATCATCGTCAAAGCTACATGTATAGAAAAAAAAGATCATAAAGAGAACAAAGTATTTGAACGTAGTATCACTACATTAAACACCTCCAGGTACATTTCTAAGAAATTAATTAAAATTCTAAGAAATCTATTGTTAACTGACACGCCGGCGTGTCCGCGGTCGTGGAGGGCTTAATAACTTACATCAAAGGCAGATTTTTAGAAATCAGGCCGATTAAAACTACCTAATGTACAGGATTGAGTTATATTTTGGATTCTCCATACTATGAGTGCTATGAACTATAAATACGCGCGCTAATCTAATTCGTCGCGTGTGATGCTACTAAGTATTAACAGGATATTTATAAGTGGACTTAAATTATTCGCTCGAGAAAATTACATTAGCAGTCATTTTAAGTGTTTAAAATACATATATTATGAAGTTTGGCTGTACCTTGTCTCCTTCAGCAACATTTGCGTTCACAGTTTCATTTTGTGGATTTATTGTAGGAAAAGTCTTCTTACTAACAGCGTCTACCCACTCATTGTTGATAAACAACTAAACAAAAAAAGGGTTTTATACCATGGTGTGTAATATGAGTTCGAACAAATAATACAGTGAAGTAATATTACGTGCTATTTTTTTAATTTTTTCATTGTAAATTATTTAGTTTTATGGATGAATGTATTAAAAAATAAAATTAAAAAAAAACGGTAGATAATTGCTTTAGTTGCTGCTTGCTATGTTTATAGTGGAAATAACTTAAGCGCATTTTATATCTTATCTAGTGTTTTTATTTGTCTGAAACCGCATTATCGTATCACATAATATTGTAAATTTAAACAAAACAATGTAAATAATTATTATTCGTTTGAATAACTTAAAAGCTGCTATAAAATTTCAAATTAAACTGATATTAAAAGTCAAAGAATTAATTGTTAAAATTTCAATATACCTACATACAATATATATCTTGTAGGAATATGGTAATGAAAATAATTGTATAAGGCAAAATATTATGACTATATTAATTTTTTTTATTGACTCTAAATCATAGTTAAAATAAGATTTTTTAAGTTAATATTACACTAAGTTAAACAAAAAGATAACCCTTCTTTGGGCTTCGCCGCGGTCGGGTAATCGGGTACCGATTTACATAAAAATATTAATACGAATTAAATATTAATTATGAGTTTGGCAATTTGAAGCTTATCTGATTGTTCTATGTATCTATTAAAAGGAGGATTCTCAAAAATATGAAATACAATTCGCATTTTTACTTACTTTTGTGTATTTGACATCAACTTTAACCATTTTTGCAATGGTTACACTTTTACCGTACTTTTTAAACCGATGTAGGTAAATCTGGATCAAACCAAAACAAAACAATTTTAAGTAGTAGAAAGTAATCGGGAGTGGTTTTATATCGGCCAACTGCGGTCAGCGGCAACTCGTTAGTCAATAATGCAATTGAGTCGATAACGTTACGTTTTTATTTTAATTTTAGTGTTGCCAAATATTAAAAACTTCCCTTCTTAATGATTATATCAAGTAAATAAGTAGCATTTATCTTTTATTATTGTTTTCATTCTAGTAGCGTGTCTGAGCCTCAAACCAAAATAGACGTTACTAAAAGACAATATATTTTCAACTAGTGACTCACCCTTCGTTCGGGTTCGTCCTTAGGTACGTTTTAACAGTTAGTATGGAATAGATAGACTAGATATATATTGTATATACATATGTATGATGATTGATAAGTTTTATATCACTTGAGAAATGTTTGATTCCCCATAAAACCTTTCATCCCCCTTTGGATGGATGGATGCTTTCCGAGATATTAACTATCCTATGTCCTTTCCAGGGTTTCAAACTCATAACAAATTTCATCTAAATCGATTTAGCGGATTTTTAGTTTATCTATTACAAACTAACCTACAAAACATTTTTTTGAAGTTAAACTTCTTTAGAATTGTTGTGATTTGAAACTCGATGAAACGAAAATGCTATACTAAAAAGAGACATATACACATATAGACATAGATAAATATGTATACCTATAAGATTAAGCCGGCGAGAGAATGAGATAGAATACAATGCCATGTTGCTATAGTAACCATTGTTAATGTGTGACAAATATATGATACTAGCACCCATGCTTCGCTCGGGTTCGCCTTTAGAAAAACAAAAACAAACCTATCCCACGGTAACCGTACATTTTTCCGGGATAAAAAGTAGCCTATGTGTTATTACAGACTAGAATCTATCTCTGTGCCAAATTTCATCCAGATCCGTTCAGCCGTTCTGGCATGAAAGAGTAATAAACATCCATACTCACAAACTATCACATTTATAAAATTTATACGGATATTCCGTATTAAACTGCACTTCTACCATGTGTCAATTGCAACCACACGTACTTTTATTTTTCTCTTTATAATATTAGTATAGGTAAATTCGTATCAAAGAGCCTAGCTCCTTATTAAAAAAAACATAAATTTATAAATAAATTTTTGCTCTTTGAATAGATGTATGAACGAAAAATAATTATTAAAAAAGTAATAAAACATTATATTTTATAATGTAATAAAAATTTTCAATATTGCTGCTTTTACTTATATAGGAGTGAGTATTTATTATATATGGTAATACAATGTCAAGAGACAGACAATAACAATATTGATTTTAATCTAAGTGTTAGATTATCTAAAATGTTCTTTATTTCCCTAAAATAGAGCTTAGGTTCCTTAATTAAAGATGGATAACGAATTAAAATACTTTTAGATCTATCGCATGCTTAATATTTATAACGGAAGTAGGTATCAATTGATAACATTTATAGAAAATATTTTGTTATTACATACTTATTTTTGTTCAAGTAATTTATTTTGTCCTAGATGCTTGGTAGCTTATCTATACCTACGCGTAATAAAATTCTAAGTAAGTCGAATCTGTACATTGTTATTTTTCGGAAAATTTTATTAAGATAGTCATTATTATCGATACCGAGGCCGAATGTATAGTTTTTAGAATTTTTGTCTGTATGTCTATCTGGAAACGCATCACAAGAAAATCGTTGGACCGATTTTGATGAAATTTGATATAATGATAGCTGGTTATCCGGGCCAACATTTAGGATACTTTTTACTGCGGGAAAATATCTCATCTCTGAGAAATCTATACTGACCGTTAGTAGGGACGAATACGAGCGAAGCGAGGTTGAGTTGCTAGTTTTTAAATAAATGTTCATAAATAATTGCTTTGCTAGATAATCCCTCTTTGAGTCTTTCCGTTGTTGATTATCATATAAATATATCCGTACAGTAGTTTCCAAGATAAGTCCGAATAAACAAACACAGTTCGGGAAGAGATTTTTATGTATAATAGGTATTTCATATAACTAGTAACCATTCATGACTCTGTCCGCATGTGTAATGTGTATTTATGTTGTTTATTTATTTATATAGGTATAAATTGTGTCAATTTTTGATCTTTTAGACTGAATTTAAAAATTTTTGGACTCAGGTTTTTTTAAATATTATGTTATAACTGAGGCCCGTTTATATTTTATTATATATAGAAAATTATATCTAGGTATATAAATTTTCCGTACCATGAGAGAGGCTTAAGTTCAGCAGTGGAAGAAAGTACACTTATGATGATGTAATATTTCACCAAATGTTCTTGAATCTGAAACAAGCAAATATTATTACAAAAAAATATCATTACATTTCCTATGTAATTATATATTTTTTTAATATATATATATATATATATATATATATATATATATATATATATATATATATATTTAATAATGCAAAAAACTCGTTGTAATATTTTTTTGAATAATATCTAATAATTCGCTTATTATCATAGTTTCAAGTGAGTCAGTAGATATGAATTCTCAATCCATAATTGATGACATTCACTTAATGCCGATTTCTGAGATCTTATAAAAATCTATATACAGTGGAACCTCGATAATTCGAACCTTATTAAGTCGTAATTCTCAGTAAGACGAAAAAATTGCCATCCCCCTCCGCTGAAACCCTAAATACGCAGTTCCTCAAATATTTTTTTGTGCCTTGTGTACATGTGCATTGTGCAATGTATGAATTCAAACTTTCAAAGAAACACATCTGGGTGCATTGTTTATGTTTGGTCTCATTTCTAAAAAGCTTTAAAATACTATCGATCAGTTCTTATCTAATAACACATGACAGATTTTTTATAGTTTTTTGGACTGTTTATCTCACCTACCTACCAACTAAAACTTAAATTGATTTTTTTTATTTTATTTTGACTCTACAACTCGAAAATTATACTTAGAAACTGTCCCTTTCTTACTAGATATTTTAGCAATTAAATCCTTTGTATCTCGTATATCTCGTTATATCGAAAACTTATTAAGTCGAAGTTTTTTAACCGATTTCAATTCCAAAAAGGAGGAGGTTCTCAATTCGTCGGAATCTTTTTTTATGTATGTTCACCGATTGATTACTTGAAGATGCCTGAACCGATTTGGAAATTATTTTTTTTGTTTCAAAGAGTATACTTCCCAGGCGACAATATTTTAAGATATGAATAATTAATAGGTAAATATGTATTTTACGTATCGAAATATATTAGGTTTGCTTTGCATCGGCTAGCACCGACTTCGAAAATATCTGATTAAACATCTTTTAAAATCTGAGATATTTCAATTACAACCGCTAAAATTAAATTTGTTTTCCATATATCTTTTAGAAATAATAAAACGCGAATTCATTTTTGCAAATAATAAAGTATGTACCTATTACGAAAAAGTTTTTTTCGTAGTTTGATCACGGGCGAAGCCGCGGGTTCAGCTAGTAACATATATATTGGTAATATTTGCCAGTATTCATTATCGCTCTTTAATCATGTTGTTATGTTAAACGAATTTGTTTTTATCTTACTAAGTACTATATAAATACGAAAATTTGGATGGATGTTTGTTACTCAATTACGCTAGAACGGCTGAACAGATCTGGATAAAATTTATACGGATAAGTGATAGATATAGTCTGGAATAGCATATAGACTATTTATCCCGGAAAAATGTTGGTTCCCATGGAATACATTTGTTTTTGTTTTTCACCACCGAGCGAAGCGAGAGTAGCCGCTAGTAATCTTTAATTTTGAATTTATCTGGTAATGAATACGTTGCTATATTAATCAGTATCTACTAAAACCATTAAAAGGAAACACTATAAATATTTTAAGTAAAAACTGCTAAGTAACATGCTAGTTTAGAAGATCATTTGGATAATAAAGGTCGCAAAAACTTATCGTAAATATAATCAAACTTAAAATAATTATCGATCTTAAATTTGGTTATTTTATAATATTATTTCAGGTTTATATTTGATAAGTAAGACAAAAATATACGTATATCAAAATATTTTAGTGATAGGTTATCACTTTGTATTTTATTGTTTAATTATGTTTTGAGTGTAGCGATTAAAATATTTTAAGAATTAAAATATATGTCAAGGGACAGGTATGAAAAATAAAAAGTAAATTTTAAGTATAAAATATATTTATGCCAATTTAATATAGGTTTACATAGAGTCAATAATCAGTGGGAATGCAAGGAATATATTCGGAAGTTTACAAAATGGGTGTCTTTGGCAGGCTGATGGTGACAGTCTTGTTCTCCAAGTATTGTTGAATTCCTTCTTCACCTCTGTAATAGGTATATTTATTATCAACAAAGATATAAAACAAACATATTTTTTTAGATCTAAATATATAGCGGAAAAAAATCATAGAAATGAAGATATTTGCAAGAACCGTTACGAAATGCTGTTTAATTAGTATCTGCAAAATAAAATAAGTGAAATGGTTTTAAAGAAACTTCTTTGTGTTTAAACTCCAATTAAAGTTAAAAGTATAATGTATGAACGGATGAGGCACTACTTCAATGTATCAATTAAAAAGTAGAGTCAGTATTTTCTAATAATTATATTCATACTGCGTACATCAACATAATATTACAATGAATCTACGTAATATATTTTATACGGTAAACATTTCATGAGTTCCAGTACAGCAAACGGTTAAATATTATTCGTATTTGAATTTAATTTATGTATAAACTAGCATTGCCCACGGCTGTGCCCGCGTTCAGATGACCAAAAACTAAATTCTTAAGTTTTACATATAAACATACTCTTACTTTGCAGTTTTTGTATTTTTTCTCAGAAACGAGATATTTTCTCGCGGTAAAAACTATCCTATATATTGACCCGGATAACCAGCTATCACCATACCAAATTTCATCAAAATACCTCCAGTGGTTTTTCTGTGATGCGGTAACAGACAGACAGATAGACAAAAATTCTAAAAAGTATAGATTCGGCCTCTGTATCGACGATAATGTTTATTTCAATAAGATTTTCCAAAAAATATCTAAAGTACAGATTCGGCTAAGTTACAATTTTTTATATACGAGTATATAGATATAGATAATAACTTACAATTCCCGGCCAATGCCTGATTCCCTGAATCCTCCGAATGGTGTCTGTGGCGTTACGTGCTCGTACGTGTTGACCCTGATAATAAATGTGAGAAATTAAAATATTATATGAATTGCAATATTATTTTTAGTTCATGTTTGTGAACTGTTTTTGTATTTTTTCTCAGAAATGAAATATTTTCCCGCGATAAAAAGTATCCTATATGTTGACCCGAATAACCAGCTACCATCATATCAAATTTCATCAAAATCCCTCCAGTGGTTTTTCCGTAATGCGGTAACAGACAGACAGTCAAAAATTCTAAAAACTTTATGTTCGGCCTCTGTATCGATAATAATGTCTATTTCAATAAGATTTTCCAAAAAATATTTAATGTACAGATTCGACTTAGTTAGAATTTTATTATATGTTTAGATTAAATGATTATTATTAAATTATATGTACTATTATTTTGTGTTGTGTCGAACAATCACTAATTTCTTAAATATTATTCATTTAATTTTAATGTGCAGATGTTTAGTTTTATTAAATAACTAGTTATTTACTAACAGTATCCCATGTGTTACTTTAGGTCTTATTATATAGTATGTGCGTCTCTAAGTGCATAATAGTACCCATCAACTCCAAATGCATAGTCTATCTGTGTAGTGGGTACTAAACATGCTATGCATCCGTTTAAGTGTAAAGTAGTAAAATATACATACAAATTCACATTTGTAATATACGATACTTAGATATCCGCTAATATGTTGTAAGCCTGAACCGATTTTGATGGAACTTGGCGTTTTGGCGCTATTTGTAAAGCGTTCAAAGCTATTGGTAACTGTATATTATAATTAATTTTTGTGTTTACCATACGCTGCCAGCCCGGATATGTCTTAAGAAAGCCATGGCGGTTGTAATATCGTTAGTGATGACCCCAGCGCCCAGACCGTAGTTAGAGTCGTTAGCGCGGTCAATGACCTCCTCGAACTTTTCAAACTTAAGGATGCTCTGGACTGGTCCGAAGATCTGTTGATATAATTATAGGCTTTATTAATTCAACTGAAAATTTCTTAAATGGCAACACTTTCGACATCAATAATAACTGCACATTTGAGAATTTCTAATTTACACTTACACCTCAACAAATATATTTATGTATAGATAGTATATTCTACTGAATTATTAGTATTTAGCCGTTGTTAACGTCCTGCTGCTGGGCACCGGCCTCTCTTCAATACTAGGTGCACCAGACCGTACTGATTCATTATATTAAAATAAGAATTTTCCAGAAACTATATGTTTAAAACTTGAAAAATCTTACCTCTTCTCTGGCAATTTTCATGTCATCTTTAACATCAGCAAATACTGTGGGCTTGATGAAGTACCCCACATTGCCGAAACGGTCTCCGCCCGCGACGCAACGGGCACCCTCTTTCTTTCCAGCGTTTATGTAACCCATGACCTTGTTGAACATTTCCAGGTCGATCTGAAAATAAATTGGTTATTTAGTATATTATACGCAATTGCCAATAAGTAATTCAAATCAAACATATTTGGGAGAGCTTTTGTGACTTAATACGTTAAGACGTTGAAAGAAATGGACTTCGCATGTAGGATAGCCGGCAATGCATTTCCGTAGAAGAATATCGATCGTCGATCAGATAGAATAGTTTTTAGTAGATCAGAAAATATAATTACGAGAAACGCAATGGAACATGACAGTAATAATGAAATTAAAAAACGAAAATACCTGAGGTCCTTGTTGCACATCTTCATAGGAGTTTCCTACAGTTCTCTTTTTGGCGATTTCCGCCGCTTTGGCAACAAATGCATCGTAGATACCAGATTGTACGTAGGTTCTAGTTCCGGCAACGCAGCATTGTCCAGCGTTTGCGAAAGCAGCACGGTGCGCAATTTCGGCCGCTTTCTCGACTACACATAATACAAATATTATAATACTATTGCTTTACTTAATTATTTGACAGGCTTTAACTTAATATTATTAAGTAAAATGCCTGCTCGTTTTATTTTACTTTTTGTAGCTGTTTTAAAAACATGTTGTTTAATGTTGGATGTGAATATTAGAAGTTATTTAATGGGACTATAGACAGATAACAAGATAGTTTAAATTACCATCAGCGTCGTTAAAGATGACTAGAGGGCTCTTTCCTCCGAGTTCCAAGGTCACACGTTTCAAATTTGTTGCGGGAGCTCCGCTCATGATGAGGCGTCCAACCTGAAAAAATGCAAATAAAATTTTTTTAAAACTAGTAGGTAATACTAAACTAACAAGTTATTCCTTTTAGTTTGAAAAGCATTTGATCAATAACAAGTAAATCTTTCGAATAGTAGTTAATTAATTATTAATGCTAATTTAAATATGTATATATACAGACTATTTTGTAAATATAATAATCGTGCAATTTTGAAATTCCTCTGACACATTTATTTTATTCCTTCATGCAATTGCAAACTACGAATCAAAGTAGAAAGATTTTTTGTAGAAGACAGAAGATTCTTTTGAGAAATTAGTTTTAAATACCTCAGTAGAACCAGTGAAAGCTAATTTGTCAACACGTGGATTGTTAATAAGAGCTCCACCAGCTGTAGGGCCATAGCCGGTGATGACGTTCACCACGCCCGGGGGAAAGCCGGCTTCCTTCACTAACGCTGCTACTGCGAGCGCTGTAAGCGGGGTCTGCTCTGCAGGCTTCACTACAACGGTGCACCCTGTGGAAAAAATAAACAAATATTAAAAAATGTATTCTAGATATGGGAGTTTTTATTTAACACTTTCTTAGATTTACGCGAATATTTGACGTTTTAAATAAAAGTACCTTTTCGGATTTTTTCGCGGATTTGACAATTGACACGACTTTATCAATAGAAATGACACTATCTTTTAGTGATGAGGATATTAAAAAAAACAACTGCTTAACCAGGCGACTTCAGAGGTTATCAAAGTTCCATTATCATTTCTTAGGTTATTAAAGTTTAATGTCTATTTAACAGTTTTTGAATATAACACTTGCCTGCTGCTAAAGCTGGAGCGATCTTCCATACGAACATGGGGATTGGGTAGTTCCATGGTAATATTTGACCGCAAACACCAACCGGTTCCTTTAAAGTCATGGACAACACTTCGCCGTCTGCAAAACAAATTGTATGTATAATTATAATTTCGTTTTAAATAAAGTATTTTACATAGAATATTTCGCCTATCCCTATTAACATTATCGGATATGCAAATTTGTCATTTTCTTTTTATTTCACTAATCACTCTTAAAAAGTCTCTTCTTTTAGTAGCTGCAACAAAAAATATTTTTTACGAGTAGTTTTTAAAATAGCCACAAGTAATTTTTGTTAACCTAACTTGTACATTTAAAAAAATATCAACAATTCAAACTTTGACGCACTCTCCTGTAAAGTTGCCGATTTTCACATCCGACAATGTTAATAGGGATAGGCGATTTCTTTGTGAGATATATTGCTATATTAGGTACTCATAGTGGCAATAAATATACCTATTCATTTTTCTAAATTCAAAATTCAAGAATAATAGTTTAGAAATTATGTGTTAATGTTCTATCAACATCATCTTAAGCTTTCTTCACACATAAAATATACTACCAAGGACAAAAAAAACGTAAATAGATCGCGTTAGGCATATTGTTGCGTTCTTGACATTGCCACACCCAATGTGTTCGCGTTATGCAAATGTACCCACTTATTACATATGCGGGCCTCAAATTACGAAATTTTAGAATTGCATTGTTCTTTGAAATAATAAAAAAATACTTTATTATTATAAATCAATGGTAAAGAATACTTGAAATTCTAACTCCTGAACTAGAAAACTATGTTTCAGAAGTTAAAAACAAATTTACTTAATAAAAGATATTTTTATTACCTGCTGGGATGGTGTTTCCTAGAATTTTGTCAGCTTTTCCGGCGTAATATCTGATGATCTGTGCGGACCAGGCAGCCTCGGTTGTTGCTTGTGACACTGGTTTGCCGTTATCTAAAGTCTCAAGTTCTCCCAAGTACTTGACATCTCTCTCAATTAGATCTGCTAATTTAAGAAGCAGCCTGCCCCTTTGAGAAGCATCAAGAAGCCTCCATTCTGAATAGCGGTGGAAGGCCTTTACTGCGGCGTCTACTGCGAGATCCACATCAGCCTAGGAATAAATGATCGTAAATTAGAATTTTATTTAGTTGTCAAATTTTACTTTGTTGATAATTTTCTTTACGAATTATATTTTTAATTTTTCTTTTATATAATACCTTGTCTCCTTCAGCAACTTCAGTGATGACAGTTTCATTTTGTGGGTTAATTGTGGGGAACTTCTTCTTGCTGACAGCGTCGACCCACTCGTTGTTGATGAACAACTGCAGAGTGCAATATAAAAGAAATAATTAATAAACGATTACAAACTATTTGCAGATAAGGATCGCGGGATACCTAATCTATGATATACAAGTAGCTTCTTTATGGTACGCGTGATTACAAAAGGAACCAAGTGCCATACAAATTCTGTGCATATCCTTTTATTTTCTAGCAGCATTGGCAGATATTTTTGTTTATTATTTGTAACTATAAATTGATATCATAACAGAGCAAGTTTTACTGTAATACTCGTAAACAGTATAGTTACTGTCAACACAAAATTCTTACGCAAATGTAGCAATTTATATTCTGTTTAAAATGATGTTCTGTTTTAGTATTCTAAACATTACACAGCATTCATTACTGAGTACGTAGCAACGATATTAATATTATGGATATTGTAGGTATCTATACATAGTTTAAAACAAAGTTACTGTCTGCGTGATTTTGTTACAATGTTCATTACTAGAACGAGTGATAAACAAGGAATTTTGTGTATATAATTTGTAATTATCTTATACAAAACGACTGGGCCTAGATGGTGTTTTGTCACAAAAACTATTTTTATACGATAACATGGCGAGCGCTAAACCTTTTAGAGATGCATTAAAACAATGTAATAGAAAATTGTAGGTCTTAAAAGACCTGCAGAAAAGTCTGCAATAGCATGTGTCTATCTCCTAAAGTACCTACGCTCACAATTACTATTTTTATCTGTATAAAACCTACGTAGGGACGCACTAGAGCGAAGTGAGGGTATATTATATAAATAGTTTAAGTTAAAATATTCGCTTCGGTGGCAGATTGTTAATAAAATTTGCAATTTTTTCAAATTTATTTCTTCTGTTTCTCAAATATTTTCTTTCCAATTCTTTAAAATATAATAGGGCAACAAAGTAAGGTATTACAGCGTTAATAACGATAGCCATCTGAAATAGGTACCTATTTATTATTCATGAACGTTTTTGTGTACAATGTGAAGATAATGTGAAGTGATACTTAAAGTGTTGTGGTTAGGGTTAGATACATAATATGTACTTTGTTTGTTGTTTATACCTGTCCTTTATAAATATATTATAATAATAAATAATATTGAAAGGAAGTGGACTAATAGTGTAGGTACCAGTTTTTTCTTAAAAGAATATTTGAATAATTAAATTCGTCGAAGTTGAGTTAAAATTACGGCATTTATAATAAATTACACTAGCAAACATACTTGTATGTTTTATAAATTGAAAAAAAATATATAAAAGATATTCTTTTATTTATATATTTTTAATTTTTAATAAATAATTATAATTGTTAGATTGTGTAGTTTATCTTGTTTGCAGTATTAAATGGATAACAAATTGAATATTAAATTTAAGGCCCTTATAATAATTTAAAGGTAAAACAGAAATATTTTTTCTCAGCAACGTCCTACAAAACCATGGGGTTTCAACGAAGGCGAAAAAATCCGTTCAAATAAATTTCAATATATGGCGTCATGTTAAAATCAATTAAAAGTCACCGAAACTTGTTTTTTTAAATAAAAATTGAATTATGTTATATTTTTCTAATTTTAGTACTTGCAGACGTATTTATAAAATAAAATACCTCGACAATTTGCCAATTAACGCCTTCTATCTTTTATTCAAGTACCTACAAAAAAAAACTGCCCAAACGATAGACCGAATTAAGGAAGTCCAATGCTTTAATTGGGATGAGGCATTTGTACTGGGCATCTGGAATAAAACAAACTATCCCACGTTAAAAGCGTAAGTCGGGTTAGCCGACATTGATTTCACATTTTCCATCTTGTGGTTTCATAATCAGACCGAATTATTATGGTGACAAAATTAATATATTACTTTCCATATTTATAAAGTTGCAGTTTTAAATGAATAATAAAGTATACATTTTAAATTAAATTAAGTATACACTTTTTAAATTACTAGCGACTCAAACTGCTGAAAACTGAAAAACAAAAACAAATCTATCCCACGGGAACCGTACATTTTTCCGGAATAAAAAGCTATGTACTATTCCTCCAGACTATAATCTATCTCTGTGCCAAATTTCACCCAGATCCGTTAAACCGTTCTGGCGTGAAAGAGTAACAAACATCTATCCATTCTCACAAACATTCACATATTTTATAATATTAGTATGGATTTAGACAAATATACAGCTATTTAGTTTTTAAATTAGATATATGTAAGCAAGTTTAATTAAAATTACGTTTTAAATGATAATAAAATGTTGGAGCCAATTAAGTTATAATATGTATTATGAATTGTGAATTTCATAAATATAAAAACGTAAGTAGGTATAATAATGTTTAGCAAACTATGCATTATAGTAGTGAATAAAATGTCGAATGAATCGTCTGCAATAAGATGTTATTATACTTTGTTAGGTTATTTGCGACCGGCCGCATTGTGCCGTTTATGCCATTAGATGCACTATTGTACTGCGGAAGTTTCGAATAACCACTACCAATAAGCAATTAATTACCTATTGTGCATAAATATATGACTTTCCTAGAATCCTATAGTCAGTCATATATAACCTCTTTATTTTGATATATTTGAATAATATTGTTCAACCCTGGCCTTGATAGCGTAACCGAGGGAGAGATTTGCACCACTTTGCAGTTTAGAGGGTTGCCAAATTTCACAAGGACGTATCCTATGGCAACTATTTTGCAGAGTTATAAGACGAGCAAACACAAGTTTCAATGAAGCTTATTATTATAGAATACGTACATACTTGTCTTGCCTGCTAATGCGTTCGTGTGGGAGAGCATCTATAAGAAGTTGCCTATACGGAATACGTTAATTGAATATATAAGTAAGTCATCCGTGTTCTAATTAAATTCAATCTTTTTTTAGCTGTTATTGAATGAGGAAGTAAACACCTACATAATATACTCATAAACAAACGTGCGTAATTACGATTATATTATAATATTTGTATGATTATGCGAGCAGATCAAAATACAGGTTTACATACAACGCGTTACGCGATTTCGTATTGTAATGTAATTTTAGTAGACTATAAAGATATGTGATACATTCAATCGAAGCCCCAGAAGTCTAACAAAAATTATAAACCAGTAAAGAAACTCGTCGTGCTCATATAGATACTCGTATTAAGTGGTTAACTAGTGGAACAGTGAGTACGAAGTCACAAGCTCAAGCGAATTTAATATTATATTTTTTATCGAAAACTAAGTTCTACTTTATTTACAATAAAGAAAATTACAAATATACTTAATATATATATATATATATATATATATATATATATATATAAATATAAAACATATGTACACTTAATTATTACTGTACAAGTCATGTTCGCGTGGAATAGTGGCATGAATGCAAGCCGCATTACCCCGCTGCATGGCAATGCCGATTCTTTGGACGAAAAGTGAGCCAACTCTCCTGTCACCAGTAGAGGCGATAAGACGAGGTGTTATATCTTTTAAGAAGTGCTTAGCACTTTGATTCGATGGATCAAGGTTTCTACAGTAATTGAAATACGATATTAGTGAAAAAAAAATTTAAAAATTATTTAAGCAAAAAACTTGTGTGTTTCTAGTTAATTCGATCTCCGTTTTAGAGCTATTTGACTGATTGGATTGAAACATGCTGATTTTAATTTAGACTATCCAATAAAATAATTGTATTAAAATATGTTAAGTAACCTTCTATTACTCGTACATCAGTAACAATAAATCATCTGTTGATAAGTCTAGATAAATAAGCGAATTCTAGATAAATTATCTGGAATGTAATGAGTCGTCCATCAAATTTGGGCAAAGATTAAATTTATCATAAGACTAGCGGTTCACCCTCGCTTCACTCAGTTTCGCTTTAGCGGTTAGTATGGAATAGATAGACTGTCTATTAATATTATAAACACGAAATTTTGCGAGAATGTATGGTTGTCTGGATGTATAGATGTTTGTTACTCATACACGCAAAAACTGCTAAATGGATTTTAATGAAACTTTAAAATCATATAGATCATACATTAGAATAAGACATATACTACTTTTTGTCCCGGAAAAGTGTATGGGTCCTATAGGATAGATTTGTTTTTGTTTTTCTAGAGGCGAACTCGATCGAAGCGCGGGTGAGCCGCTAGTATATTATAGTACTGCTCCGCTCCCTTGTGTAGTAGCATGATGATATATAGCCTATAGCCTTCCTCAATAAACGGGCCATCTAATGCAAAAAGAATTTTTCAAATCAGATTAGTAGTTCCTGAGATTAGCGCGTTCAAACAAACAAACAGAAACTTTATAATATTATATTATAGATAAAAGTCATCGCCTCATATTGTTGTTATACATACATAGAGGATGAATTTAACCCTGTTTAAATATTTAATTGACTATGTATAACTTATAAGGAAATTATTATGTAAAGTACCTATAGCAAATATAGTATATTTGAGAACGCGCGGTGTTGTATACTTGAAACTTACAATATTGCTTTATATGGAAAGTGGAGATCGAAGGTTTGACCGCAAAGGAAAACATGTAAAAATTAGAAAACAACCGCACTTCGTCATGTATACTGAAAAGTTAATGTACATTAAAAGAAAAAATTGATACATTTTAGTGTTGATTTTTACAAGACTGTCTGAATTAAAATTTTGTTTAAGAGCAATTTCTTCTCTTTAGTTTACAAAAATACCTATTACATAAGAGAATATAAAACAAATTAAAAAACTATTGCTATTTAAAAATAATATAATAAAAATACGTTGTATATATAGTAATAATAAAGTAAGATAAAAAATATTATAGGTAATAATCGCAACTATAAAATATATAAGTTCAAATATAAAATTTATTAAAAAACTAAATTTATTTTGGAAAAATATTTCACTTTTCTCAATACATCAAATTATTTTATTCAAATACATATATTATAACTTTGAACTTTAGCATTTGGAGTCATAAAATATTACTAATATAAATTTTCCTTCTTAAAAAAAACTATTATTATTATACTTTACTGGTCTGTTTAGTTTTTTTTATTTTTTGCATTACGAGTAGTTCCTAGAGCTACCTCTATTTAGGTTCATTTTCTTATCATTATCCTTGTACTTGGTCATGATGTTTGAAAACTTATAGCTTTAAAAAACCTCAATTATTATAATTTGAATAAAAAACAAACTTCTATAATCTTTATGCTATGACTGCTATGAGTCAATGTCATGTTCTTTTATTAATACGTCAATCAGGACATCACAATTATTTAATTTATTAATAATAATTTGATTGTTCGATAAATGAAATCGATATTATTTAACTTCATGTATTTTTTATAATATGAAATAATTAAAAAGCGATTGAAATATTTTAACAACTTCATCGAATTATATTATTATTATATTATTATTATTATTAGCATTGCATAATTTTAAAAGAAGGAGGCACATTCGCACTTATTGGATTATTTGAATTAATTCTTGATACCGGCCAAAATGACAGGAATAGGATATTTGTGCACTCTTGCAATAAAAATTACGTTCCCAGAATACAATGGATACATTATTCGTCCCAAATTATATTTAACACCAAAAATATATGATAAAAAAGTATAAAACACTAAAAACAAAGCAAATTCGAAACTATTTTGATTATATATATTTTAATTAAACATGTAATCCATTTCCCTCACAAAACTCAAAATTTTATAAATTTATTTATTATTAATATGTTTATATTTTATTACTATGTGCATTGTGCAGCTTGATTATTGAAATTAAAGCTAGTACGTTATTTTTGCAAAGTGATCTAATTACAAATTATTATTATTGCCCTTATAATTTTGTTATTTTCTAGAACACTTTGCCGGCAGAATTTTTTTCATATCGGTTATTTAGTCTGACCTTGAGCGTTTGCGAAGACCAATCACAATGAATAACTCAAACTGTAAATATTGCTTCAGACGGAACCGACATCGCATTTATTTTCAGATTCATAAAAGCGCTAAAAATACTAAAAGCTTTACAAAACATTATTAAAAGTAAAATAGAATATTTTATTTGAAATATGACATACCTTGGTGTATTTTATTTCCACTTTAGCCATTTTAGTTATGTATACGAGTGTCACGGGCCGCGGTCTGTCACAGAGTACGTGCGGGCTTATAAATATCTTCCATACATCACTAGCAGTACTAGCTATAGATGTATTTCGGATGTATAACATTGATAACAATCGAGTGTAGGGTTATCACCGATTGAATATTATGTTACGATGATAATATTAGTATGAATAATTATTTTTATTAAGGTATACTTTTTACATTTATTTATATAAAATAACACATTATTAACTATACATATATCTATACATATAATAAAATTCTAAATGAGTAAAATCTGTACATTAAATATTTTTTGGAAAATCTTACTGAAAAAGTCATTATTATAGATACAGAGACCGAATCTATAGTTTTTAGAATTTTTGTCTGAGTGTTTGAAACGCGCAGCAAGACAGCAAGGCGAAGGTGGCGAACAGCACTTGTGGGTCGTTGTATCAAACCGATATTATTACTGCCCGAATACAATTCAACCCCGATTTCATGATTACTCCGCTTTAAATACAATTACCCGCACTGACGACACAATGATCAAAAAGAAACTTATTAGAAATAATACATTTTGTTTTATATTTTTAAATATAAGTTTAACATTAATTAAATATTAAGTATTTACTTATGTAAATATTTTATAACTGTAATAAATAGTAATTAATTATATAAAGTAAACACACACGAGTGAATTTGAAAGATAATACAAAACCCGCTCGGAAACAAAAAGCGAATCTATTTTGTGATATTTGAAATATAATTTAGTATTAATTAAATATAGCAATTAAGTAAATATAAATAACGAATAAATAGGTAATGCCTACAACACTATTAATATTACAATCCTATTTAATAAAAAAATTTGAAAATTTCAAATTTTCAAACATTCGAATGTCCATAGATTGGAATTCTGGTAACATTAATAAAAAGATTTTGACTAAATAGAACCCCTTTTTTCAGGTTTAGATCCTGCAAGACCTTTAATTTCTAATTACGGTTCTCGTCTTTTCCGCCTTGGTAGAGATGATGCGTACGTTGTTCAAGTGATTCACACTAATGCTGGTTTTCTTGGAGAGAGTGGTTTGGTCGGACACGCCGACTTTTGTGTTAATGGAGGGAGACTACAACCTGGTTGTAAAGGACATTTCATGCGTAAGTATTTTGTCTATTTTTATCCGAACTTATTTATCTAATTTCGTATAATATCATCATTATTATTTGTCGACTCGTTTGGCCCAGTTTATAGTGACTCTTACTTGTTGTGCCAAAGGTAGCAGGTTCGAGTCCTGCTGGGTGCATTCATTTGTGTGATGAGCATGAATGTTTGTACTCCAGTCTGGGTGTTTATATTTATAATATGTATGTATTTAAAGTTATATATGTGTAGTGTATCAACTATCAGGTAATAGGTATCCATAACACAAGCCTCATAGCTTAGCCTGGAACTAGATGGTGCTGTGTGTTAATGTGATAATCTTGATCTCAATAAATGATACTGGTAATAAAAATAATATTAGCAGAACCCGTCGCTTCGCTCTCGATAATCATACAAAAAATCTCTAAAAAGTAGGTTTCATACAAACTTTCATCCCCCATTTTACCCCCTTGATATCCCCCATATGAAATGAGTTTCGAAAAATTCAAAAAAAGTCTTTATTTAATTATATTAAAGAGCATATAAAGTTACCAATTCGTTAGATATGTTAAAACGTGACATATTAAGAAGACCACACAACAAAATGATTCAGGCTGCTGCACTCTCGGCGTGCAAGTCAAACTTGCACTGGTGATTGGCCTGATTATATTTAGCGTTCCATACCACTAAATGATGTCTATTTTTGTTTGTCTTATCTTATAGGAGCAATATGTTTAACAGTAATAGTTCCTTTTAAATTAAAAAAAAACGTGTATGTGTATTTATGTACGCACGTAAGAAGTTATACTTCTTTGGCGTAACAGAACAAAAATAGCTAAAGATTTCATCCCGTATGTCACAACTCTCTGTTTGTAAAAAGAATGCAGCTAATTTCATCATGTCGCTTTTTGGCTGTCGATATATTTGAGACAGGGAGTACCACTCGCACTTTATCGATTTATTCACCGTCTACTATCTTTGACATTCTACGAGAATGGACCGGACCTACTGTGTTGAAAGAGATGCCTTTTTTATTGTTATCTTATTTGGTTATGATAAACTGTGACTTTTTATCTACGAGTAAACACAAAACAACATGCTTTGTAAGAGATCTCAGCATATAATATAATGGAAGGAATACTTTTAACAAAAATAACAAAAATATACTTTAATTGCTTAAATATAGCTGTAATTTGCAATTTTACAAATGAATATTTTATTTCTGTCATGTTAAGAGTATGTGTAGTGGGCGTTTCTGTTGATTAAAATTAATTCAGCTGTTTTTAAATAATGTTTATACGAATTAATATGAAGAGATACTCGTATAATATATATGGAATTAATTGGAGAAATGTAGAGACGATGTCTATAAATCCTTAATATTTTCACAATAATATTGTTTTTAATAAGCAAAATATTCTTATTTTTTTGGCTTGGATACTTTGCATTTAATAAACATTTTGCCCGAAAATATTTCTAAATTTATTTTAAAATAGTTAAAAATGCAGTCAGACAATTTTTTTCTATATTTCCGAGCCGATTATATACTGCAGACAGTAGAGTATAAACAAATATCTATGATAATAATCTATACAATTATCTTGAGACACTATATTTAAACAAAAGTGTTTATTATATCAATTTCTGAGTTATGTGTCTGTCTCATAGTAGATAATAGCAGGTTTGTTAATCTCAATGTAATAATGTTTTAAATATAATAGACGCGATTGGGACAAAAGCGTGAAGATTTAATAAAAATGTCATGTCCGTAATTTCACGCTATATCCATTGTGGGGTAGGCAGAGAGAGAGAGAGAGAGAGAGAGAGAGAGAGAGAGAGCAGAGTTTCAAGTGCTAAAATCTTCTTCATACATTTTTCATTATCATCGTTCTCTTCTTCGTCAGACTTTTGACTAGACTTTTAAAATTAAGGAAAGGAAAAGATAATAATGGTCTAACCATTATTATCTTTTCCGTTTTAAAAATGAAAAATCACTCTGACCAATTTTAAAGTATAGGATTCGTCCAATCGAATTAAATGAGTTCTGAGAGACTATCTTATAAGCGAGGGTGAGTCGCTAGTTATATATAAAGACAATACTGACTCGTAAAAGTCTAACTCTATATATTTAGAATTGTAAAAATATCTAACTGGTATTTACTAGATACATTATGCTTGGCATTCTAATTAGAAGTTATTGCATAACAATTTATGCTATTAAGAAATCACTATGACTTAACATAAACCAGGTTGATAATTTCCTTTTACTTAAGATTACATGGTGCCATCACTGACCCCCTTATCTTGTTGATATTTTAAACTTTGTAAACATAAGAGCTACTTTAGTTAGGGTTGAACACCAAAACTAGCTTATTTGATGAATTAAAATTTTCATTTTCATTTAAAAAGTATTTAAACCCTTTTATTTTCAAAATTAAAATATCTAGATTCGAAGGTCCTGGATTCTTGGGTCGGGAAAAGTACAGTTATTGAGTTTTGAAATACACACATTAATTATTAATTGTTTTCAAAAATTTAAAATGTGATAATTGCAAAGTATTGTTTCTTAATTAACAAATTATAATATTTATATTTTAATTTAGGTATAGCTCGATGTAGTCACTTCATGAGCTCTTGCTATTTCGCGGCTAGCGTTCGTCGGAGATTACGATTAGTGGGTGTACCTTGTGACGCTACGTGCCCTAAACAAGGGTCATGGGGTATCCGTAGTGACAGAAAATCTGTGAGGCTGGGAGATGATATTCCAGATACGTGAGTTGTACTTTATTTAAAAATTATCTCTGATGCAACTCTATAGTGGTACCTACGGCTTTGGTGAAGGCTATATAATCATGCCGTTTGGCGTCTAGACATTAAGGTTATAAGGTATAGAGGCATTTGAACTGGAACATGACCCATTGCCTTAAAATTGAACAGTAAAAAAAGTTAAATCCGAAGAATTAATGTACCAATAACTTAGACGGCAGCAGTATTGAGCTGTATCTAAAGTGTCCTTATTGATATCATTTTTTTAGATATTGGTTATATTATTTTATTACTCTATAAAATATTTTGCATGTTATAAATAGAGTCAATATAAAAATAATATAGGATATAATTAATCTTTCAATCAGATTTTTTTTTATTTTTTTTCTTACCTTCTAAATTAGATTTCTTAACTCTTTTTAATCTATAGTATAATTTTTTGCAATTTTATTAACATAGACTTCATCATTATGTTATTTACGAAGGTACGTATTTGTTTCAGATCACGAGGGATGTACTGCGTGCGTGTAGATCATCAGGAAAGCTGTCCATTTGATTAGAATAATTAAAACATAATAATTATTTATTAACAATGATTTATTTATTTCTTTTACAATCAAATTTACGTCTATTTAACAAAATAAGAACGATTTCTTTTGGACAAATCATTAACTTATATTCTATTCAAAACCTAAAACTTATTATTGTCAAATTTCGTAGTGAGTGCTATTATAAAAATACTATCATCACATAAAGCAAAGAAGTGATAAACACTATCATGGTACAAAAATAGACAAACTAGTATTATAGTGCCTATGTGTTTCGAGAACATATCTTAAGGTACTTATGTTTTTGGAACGAAAGTTACTTCTATGACAGCACATGAGAAGTTGCAATGCTCATTGTAAAAAACTGATTTAAAACTGACATTTCCATAGAAAAAATTTCCTCCATAGTACTTTTGGGCCACATCCTGTATATCTATATTCAATATGTGGTGACCCTGAAATATGTAGAAATTATTTATAATAAAGAAAATTGTATATTGCTTATTAATTCTTTATCTTATCTAAATTGGTATAAACTTTAAGCACCGCTACAAAGGACTTTAAATGTAGAATGTTCTTACTAAATATTTACAAGTAAAACTTCTTTAGAATCATTTTAGCATCGTTGTGAATTGAAACTCGATGAAACGAAAATGCGACACTAAAAAGAGACAAACACATAAATATATAGGATTTTAAGCTGGCGAGAAAATGAGATAGAATACATTGCCATGTTGTCATGATAACCGTTGTTATAAAATATACAGGTTGGAACAAATCGATGGGACATGGAAGAAAAGTACCTTAAATATTGGAGTTATCAAGATTTACTCACAGGAAACATTTCTTTATTTTGAAAAATAACAATAAATGATTTTTTTTTAAAACGTTCCTGAACCGGAAATCCAACCAAATAAAAATGCAAAATGGGACACTGTCACTATTTAATCGAATTAATTGATAGAGTCTATGGAAAGGATAAAATCTCTCGAACAAACACTGCGTTTTAGAATTCAAGAAAACGAAGAAATCTTATAAATTATACATCTCACTCTAACATCGTGAAACAAACGCACAGGACAAGGAAGAAAAGTGTTTTAAACACAGAAAATATCAAGTTTTACTTAAAAGAAACATTATTTTATTTGAAAAAATAAGATTAACTGCATTTATTTTTTTTAAAAGAGGTATTTATTTTTTACCTGAACGAGTAATCGAACCAACTGAAGATGCAAAAAGGCACAACGTCACTACTTTATCGAATTATTGAATAGAGTCTATGATAAGGATGAAATGTCTTGAACGAAAATTGTATGTTATAATTAATGAAAACTGTGAAATCTTACACATCAAACTATCACATATCAAACCTAACTAACAACATGTTCAGGTAAGCTTTTTTAAAAAAATTAAATGCAGTTATTATAATTAAAAAAAAAAGAAATGTTCCCTTTGAGTAATTTTTGATAACTTCAATATTTAAGGTACTTTTCTTCCATGTCCCATCGATTTGTTCCATTCTGTATAATATTATATTTTTTCCGTATATGATATATCATTATAATATACCTAATATGCCTTATTTAATTATTTGAGATAGAATACATTACACAGGAAGTGAAATATAATAAAATTTATTACTGAATAATATGTAATATATATTTATGTCGAATAAAATGTAAATTAACTTTTAAACTTTATTATATTGTAAAAAAATAAACCTTATAATAATTATCCTACTCATGATACTCTATATTCATCTCATTCTCTCGTAGGTTACTTTTCTGAAGTTTCACTTCTACCATGTGTGAATTGAACACACACGCACTGCTTTTTTTAACGTTGGTTGATACTAAGTTGTCACAGGAAAAGAGTTCTTGTGTTTTTAAAATCTATTAGATTTTTTGTTATTAAAAAATAGTCTGTTGTTGTTAGTTAATATGTTTAATGGTTTAAAAAATATATTTCGCCTGGAAAATGAATGAGGGATCTACCACATAGATCGGGATCTTAGAGTATAATTTGAGTTTAACATTTAAATTCATACATTTACGAGTAAAACAGGCGTGCAAGTGACACACAACAACTGCTAACTTATTGATATCAATATTTAAATCCAGAATTTTCTTACTTCTTAGAATTATAAAATCCATGGCTAATTGTTATTATATAGAGTCTACGTATAAATTTTGTTTACCTTTGTAAATTCACATTTTTGGGTAGCATTCAGTATCGCTTGAAATAATGGCCGCATGAAAAAATGGTCACAGGGATTCTTCATCTGAAGTCTGATAAGTGGTTTGCCGTTTGCCATTGCTATAACTTTACCCTATAAAATTTTCAATTCCTTATGATTTTGTAACATTTAATTATTAAATAGTAAATTATTCACCAAATAATGGATATGTAATCTATACATATAATAAAATTCTAACTAAGTCAAATCTGTACATTAAATATTTTTTGGGAAATCTAATTGAAATAGACATTATTATCGATACGGAGTCCGATAATAATGTCTATTTTTTCTATTATTAATCTATAGTTTTTAGAATTTTTGTCTGTCTATCTGTCTATCTGTTACCGCATCACGAGAAAACCACTGAACAGATTTTGATGAAATTTAGTATGATGATAGCTAGTTATCCGGGTCAACATATAGGCTACTTTTTACCGCGGTAAAATATCTCATTTCTGAGAAAAAATACAAAAACAAAAAACTGCACTGTAAGAGTATACTAATATGTAAAACCTAAGAATTAGGTTTTTGGTCATCTGAACGCGGACGGAGCCGCGGGAAATTCTAGTTTACAATAAAGCTTTAATTAAAAGTATGAGTACTATACTTCTTATGTATATCAATAAAAATATAGTAAATTTAAACTTTTAAAATTACTGAAACGATTTTGATATTCCTTTCGCCACTGAAATTTGAAAAGCTGAATTATCTAAACGAAGTTTATATTTTTTTCACTTATAATAAGTTTCCAGCCTGATATACTCGTACCAGCCTGATCATATAGGTAGCATGTACGGTTGTAGAAACCGGAGGTCCTCAGTCCCAGGAGTTATCGAGCCAAATATACTTATGGGTGTTTCCACATAGAAAAACACCGTAACGGCTTGGCGTTGAAACACATAAAGCCGTCGGTGTTGCGACTGATTTCTCACCGGTCTTAACGAATTTTAGTCCCATCGGAGTTTTAGTGTAAAAGGAATAGAGAATACGCTTTTGCGCACATACGAGTATACTATTATATATTGTATCTTTTTTTTGTTAAGTGTAATACGTAATTTCTTTTGTAACTGTTTAACTTCACCGCTCGATATGATTAACTTATCAGTGGAAACTTTATTGGTCTATGAACCATCTATATACGTAAGCTATTGTATAAATACACTGACGTGCAAAAAAATCGGGCCACCTAGAGAAAATGGACAAACTTAAGATATGATATTTTTTTATTAATTTTGTTATTATATATGGGTAGCTGTATACCCTAGGTACCTAAATCAATAATCGTTGAATAATTTAAATAAAAATTATTGCTCAAAAATAGAGGAAAATCCAATTTAATGATTTGTCGCGAGTTTGGTATAAACATGTAAGCCGCAAATTAATGGGAAAATTAAAAGATTTCGATTGGTTTTATGATTTTTAGTAATGCGTATTACCGCCTCTATTTTTAATTACAGCTTTTAATCGGTTTTTCAGAGATTTGACACACTTTTTTAGATAATCTTGTGTAATAGACTCCCAAAGCGCCTTATTGGAAGCAATAAGGCGCTTTTTAATTCTTGAATGTTGCTCGGGACTACTACGCGACTTCTAACTTTTCTTTTGAGATGGTCCCATACATGCTCTATCGGATTGAGGTCAGGGCTTCGCGCTGGCCAGGCAATAGTAGACACTCCGACCTCTTGAAGGTACTGCCTTACTGATGTAGCAGTGTGTGGGCGAGCATTATCTTGTAGAAGCAGAAAATCTTCTCTAATGAACCCAGTAAAAGGCATCACATGATCTTCTAAAACCTCCGTTATATATAACGGAGCGGCTAGCGGCTGTAAGGGATCCATTTTCTATGAATATAAGCTCGGTTTTCGCTTCGTAACAGAATCCTGCCCAAAACATAACTGAGCCCCCTCCATATGACACTGTTTCCCGCATAGTGCATGGTGCATATCTTTCACCTGGTCGCCGGTAAACAAAATTACGACCGTCAGCACTATGCAAACACATTCTGCTTTTGTCAGTAATAAGAACCTTCTTCCACTGCTCCAAATTCCAATTCACGTGATCTTGGGCAAAAAGTAATCTTGCAATTCGATGTGCAGGGGTAAGTTTGGGGCCAGTTGCGGACTTGCGTGGCGTCAGGGAAGCGGCTCTAAGTCGGCGCCTTACTGTCCACTCGCTAACATTAACACCTCTCACTTCTCTCAGGAGATTTCGAACGTCAACCTCTGTGCGATGACGATTTCTTAGAGCTGATGACACAATAAATCGATCATCATGCTCTGATGTGGCTCTTCGTCGGCCGGAACCATGTCGTCGTACAAAGCCACCAGTCTCTATGTAACGATTGTACACTCTCTGGACCGTAGAACGGCTCACAGAAAAAGCTTGAGCCACTTGACGTTTGACTTTGTCCAGTTTCAAGCAAAGTCACAATTCGAGATGATTCAGCCTCGGTCAGATCCATCTTGCAGTATTTCTAATAATCGCAGATCAAAGTAGAAGTGTCTTGTTCAATAATTGGAACTCAAATAAGCTTCTAAAATAACAAAAAACAGTATTTGTGGCTTTAATCCATATTATGCAAATATTCACTAATTACTGCTAATTGACTATAATTAAGCGCACACGTGCATTTCCAGGAATTTTATGACTTTTTTGAAGGAAACAAAGGCGTCTAATCTCCTTAATTACCTTTGCGGTATTTATTTTCACCATACAATTGTCAACAAAAATTATGCTTAAAATTAAGGGTGGCCCGATTTTTTTGGCACGC